GACTCTGAATTGACTCTTCGGCTCCATATGCTTTGCCAGTCTTTTTGTGAGAATTCCTTTGCTTGAGTGTCTTAATAGGCGGCTTAGATGATTTCTTAGCGTCGTATTCCTTAAGGAGCTTTCGAGCTCTCTCACGTCTTGGACAGTCTCGTACGCCATGGGCTCCGTCACAAAGGAAGCATTGGACCATAAACTTAGTACCAGATTCGGAGTCAGACGATAGTGGTGAGCTCTTGTGATTTCGGCGCTTGTAAGGCGGAACATACTTCTCCGTCTTCCGGAATGCTGGGAGAGCTTTTTCGTCGGCGTCTTGCTGGTCTCGAACCTCCTTCTCTTCCAGAAACTTAAGTTTCTGTTCAACCGTAAGGTTAAGTTGGGCGTTTAAGGTGTCAATCGTAGTCTTAAATTCTTTCGGGAGTGATCTAATAAGAACGAGTAGTAGTGCAGAGTCCTTGTAAGCTCCGTTGGTGTCAGCGTCTGCTGCTACGAGTTTGCGTCGGTATTCCTTTAGCTTTTCCCATGATCCAACAATTGTGTTCCCAGGATTGAATGTGAACGTTTGAATTCTGGTCATGTAAATGTTGGCGGTTGTGGCGTCAGTTTGGGTGTACTTCTTTTGTAGGTAGGCCCAGAACTGGAAGGCAGTGTCGTATTCGTCAATAAGGGCTTGGTCATCTTCAGTAAGCGACCGAAACAAGAGATCGATTGCAGTGGCTTCATCTTCTAGGTACTTGTCTCTTTTTTCAATGTTGACGCGGATCTTAGTATGCTTGTCTGCTTCAGCAATTTCCAACTCTTCCATAGCCTCCGTTAGTTCACCGGCTATTGCTATTTGGCAGTGCTGTACCAGGTTTTTCTCGCAGACATAGAAGACTTTCTTCCCCTTAAGCTTGACCTTGTTTCGGCGGAACCAAGTATCGTGGTTTTCAGCTGTAAGTTGGGGAATCTTCCATTCTTCCTTCTCTACAGCCATCTTGTGTGTTTTGAGTTGGTGAGACTATTATGCGAGCAAGGTACGTGGTATGATGCTAAGAGTGTAGGTGATGCGGGCGATGCGGGCGATACAGGCGATGCGGGCGATGCGGGCGATCCGGGTGATATTCTGCGGGCGGTGCAGTCGTTATCGGTTCTCGGGTGTAGAGACGGTGTATTTAAGTGTGATTGCGTGTTAACCGCGTTGTACACGACTTCTTTTCTTTTCTGATTCCTTCTTGAATCTAAGTCCTTCGTGACTTGGGTGGATGTTTTGATTCCTTCTTGAATCTGAGTCCTTCGTGACTCGGGTAGGTGTTTGAAAACAATAACGTTGGGTTAGGCAACCGGGCTCATAACCTGTTAGAACAAGGTCTCCTCTGGTGGTATGACTACCATAGGCGACCGAGTAGAGGTACGAAAGGTAACCCTGTATTGGATTGAACTTCACTAAGAGCTATTGTTCTATCTACTTGTTGTTATGATGATCTTAGGACGTACATGACAGATCATCATTCCGCGTCGGTCCTTCTGCTCGGGCTTACTCCACGAACCTCACCTCGCCGACCTGGACTGAACCTAACATATTCTTAACACTATTCTCATTTAGTCTATCAATTAATCCTAAGATAAAGAGGACTATTAATATACCTCACGGGCGAGTGGCCCACCTATGCCAAGACCCCACCAAAACTACAACTAAGTAAAATATAATCGCGATAAGCCAACAACAAGATAACCTCCTAGCTTTAAAAGAAGCTCGATTACAGAATGCGCTTCTAGCTATCTAACGCGACGCGACGCTATCCTAGAGACGTGCTGTAGCTATCTACAATGTCTCTCAAAAGACACTTAAGCGCCGGCTTAAAGGAACACCTTTTCGACGCGATTGTACGCTTAACTTAATTAAGCTTCTCAAAATAGAGGAGGATGTAATTATTTACTATATCCTTAACCTTAACGCGTAAGGATTCCTAGCCTGGCTTACTGCTATAAAAGATATAGGTAATTCTTTACTAGCTAAGCACTACTGCGACCCTATTCGCTAGAACTAGGCTGTCAGGCCTACGCAATGCGAGGTGTACAATATATACTATTTTACCACGATGATCAGGAGTTCACTGATCATACGTACCTTTTTGATTGCATAGCGTAGTGGGCGTAGACCTACGTTCTGACATAGGCTATAACCCTCACTAAACGTCGCCCTAAGCTTAAGGTTAAGTTTAATCATAAGTATAACTACAAGCGAGCTTTCTACAAGGATCCTAAGGTCATATAAGGCTATTTCTAACTTATAGAGAATATAAAAACTAAGTATAGTATCCTTAATAAGGACACTAACAACTTTAATAAGTCTAGCTTTATAATAGGTATAATATTAACAAGAGTAGTAGTTACTAGCTCTTAGCGTTAAGGGCGGCTAAAGACAGTGCAGCAGGGTAATCGAGAGTAGAGTACGGTAATCTAGGGCATTAACTTAATAGGGTAGGCCATCTCTACCCTTTATTATCTTCTAAGGTAAGAACTACCTCTCTACCTAATATAAGGAGGGCAGCGCGCTATATAAGTAGATTATTGCAGTCTTAGAAAATAGCTATAAGAGCTACGACTCGTTTAAATTCTTATAGTACTAACATGTTTTATAAGCGAGCCGCCAGTACAAGCGAGCCGCCACCTAACCAACTTTCTACACCTCTCCTATCTTAACATACAATGGCTCTACGCAGCGCGCCTCAATTAGCTTCAAATGAAGCAGATATACAGCTTGCTATCTCTTCTATTAATGCGCATCAAATTAATAGTGCTTCTACTGCTGCAGCTATATATAATGTCCCACGTACGACACCACGTAACCGACGCGCTGGTATACCTGCACGACGCGATTGCCAGCCCAACTCAAGGAAGCTTACCCAGAGAGAAGAGGAGGTGATTATCAGCCATATCCTTCACCTAGATCTACGTGGATTTGGGCCTACCTACGTTGATGTACGAGATATGGCTGATAAGCTGATGGCTGCACGCGGCGCTAGCCTAGTTAGCATCCACTGGCCGCGCAACTTTGTCAAGCGTACAGATAGCCTTCGGACGTGTTTCAACCGAGCGTACGATAGGCAGAGAGCTCTCTGTGAGAATTCAGCCCTTATCCAACGGTGGTTTAAGCTAGTAGAAGAGACAAAGACTGAGCTTAGTATCTGCGATGAGGACACATACAACTTTGATGAAGCTGGCTTTATAATAGGCAAGATTACAACGCAGCTGGTTATAACAGGATTAGAGAGAAGAGGCAGGCCAAAGAGTATTCAGCTAGGCAATCGCGAGTGGGTAACGCTAATCGCTGCCATCAGCGCTGGTGGCTGGTCAGTGCCACTATTCCTTATCTTCGCTGGCTAGTACCACCTATCAGCCTGGTATAAGGAGGATATCCTACGCGACTGGGCGATCGCAGTCAGCGACAATGGCTGGACGAATAATGAGCTTGGAGTTGAGTGGCTAAAGCACTTCAACGCTCACACGCAGGCTCGTACTATAGGCGCGCGTCGCCTGCTTATTATTGATGGCCATAGGAGCCACTAGTCTCTAGAGTTCCAGGAGCTCTGCAAGGAGAACAATATCTATACGCTCTGTATGCCTCCTCACTCATCTCACCTACTCTAGCCACTTGATGTTAGCTGCTTCTCGCCATTAAAGCGCGCGTACAGCCGTGAGGTGGAGAGCCTTATGCGCAACTACATCAACCACATCACTAAGCTAGAGTTTCTGCCAGCGTTTAAGGCTGCGTTTAATCGAGCGTTCACGCCAGCCAACATCTGCTTAGCCTTCCGCGGCGCAGGCCTTGTTCCTCTACAACCAGAGGCTGTTCTATCAAAGGTAGATGTACAGCTGCGTACACCTACTCCTCCAGCAGCTGCTCTACCAGAGGCTCCCTAGGTAGCTCAAACACCAAGCAACGCGCGTGAGCTTAAGGCTCAGTCAAGCCTTATATGTTAGCGCGTGCGCCAGCATAAGAGCTTATCACCAGCTTCGATCATTAAGGCGATTGACCAGCTAAAGAAGGGCGCTGAGGTGATAATGCTCTCTGCTAAGCTGATGCGCGATTAGATCTCTAGTCTTAAGAAGGCCAACAGCGCAGCCTCAGCGCGTAGGCAGCGCTCTAAAAGGCGTATACAGAAGCATGGAGTACTCACAAAGGGAGCTGGAGAGGATATACTGGCTCAAAATGAGGCTGACCAGCAGATTGCTCATGAAGAGCGTTAAGGAGGAGCGCGATCAGGCGTCAGCTAGCGGGCTCAAAGGCGCTGCACCAGGTGCAAGGAGACTGGGCACAACTCACGCACATGCAACACTAATACTATCAATATAGAGTAATCTACTGTATCAATATCTAGCAATAGTATTATCGCGTTGTTGAGATGCGTCGCTTTGAAGTTGCAAAAGTTGGGTTAGGTGGCGGCTCGCTTGTACTGGCGGCTCGCTTATAAAACATGTTATAAGGATTATAAGATTATTACCCTCTTTATACTACCTTACTCGTTACACCTACTATAGTCTCTTAATATAGGGTGTTTATCGCCTTTCAAGACAGCGTATAGCTACTAAGCTAAAGATTTAATGCGTAATAGGATTACCCATATTACTAGACTAGAGTTCCTAATATACTTTAAAGGCGCTTTTAACGCTGCGATTATAAAGGCTAATATATAAGGAGGCTTTTAAGGCGCTAGCTTAGTCCTATTTAATCTAGAGGTAGTGATATTAACGCTAAACGTACGGCTACGCACTCTCCTACTACCTACTATTAAGGATATTCCCTAGTAGTCCTAAACTCTAAGTAATGCCTTAGAATTTAGTTTACAATTGAAGCTAATTTAAGAGAGGATTTAAAGATATATAGATAGCTTACCTAAGTATATAGTTAAAGCGATTAAAAGCCTATTAAAAGGTGCAGAAATAATAGCGCATTCTCTAGTATTAATAAATAAGTGTAACGCTAAGCTCTAAGAGGTTAAAAAAGTCTTAAGTAAGCGTGAACTATATAAAAGGAAGCGTATATAGTAGTAAGGGAACTTAACGATTGATAATGGCATACAACTAACGACCCTTAAGGAGTTTAGGGCGCGTAGTGATAGGAAGAAGGCGAAGAAGAGGGTGCGCGTTAGGGTAGGTAAGCCTAGCTAACAACGCTGTAGACGCTGCGGCGAGGCAGTACATAACTTACGTATATGTAAGTAAGAAGTAGTAGTAAATTCTAAGTAGAATAGCCTATTACAATTCTCTATAGCAGTCCTAGGCGGTGCTATACTATCGTGTACAGTCGTGGTTTTGATGGGGTCTTGGCATAGATGGGCCACTCGCCTGTGATGTATGTTATAGATTATAACCCTAAAATTCTAGCACCTAATATTATCCTATATATCTACAAGAGCTAGCACCTACAGTTCCCGCTGCTTAAGAAGCACTCGCGCGATCGTGGAGTCTAGGAATATATTAACCTAGATGTTAACACTCTTATGCTAGCGATTAAATCCCTCGAGCTAGCTATCTGGCTATTCCACCCAAGCTAGTTAAGCTTACCTCGCCTACCTTAGAGCTGACGCCTAAATACTAGGCTTCTCTTAACAAGTATAATTACAAGAAGACAGCCTACAAGAGCGCTACTAAAAATTATAAGAAGGATATTTGTATCTATAAAGTCCTATATAACTAGTAACGTGGTTCACAGGCGAGCGGACCACCCAAGTGGGCGGATCAGCAACCACCAGCGAAGCGACTGCGGAGCTTCAGCACGTTATGTCTTAATAACGCAACGTGCAGAAAGCCTATACTACAAGAGATATATTTCTTGCTATATCTAGTCTTAATTCTAAGTAGGTCTAAAGCGAGCGTAAGACGTTGTAGACGTCCGCGCGCATTAGCAGAATCTTCCTTAAGGGAAACTGCGCTAATAGGGTCTCTAGATGTTAGACTAAGTGCGCCTATATAAAGAACTAGTAGGAGAATCTAGGGTAATTAGCTAGAGCCTAATATAGTCTATTATTATATGCCAACTACGCCTAGACGGGGCAGATGCAAGGTATAGACGATTAACTAGGGTGTTGATCTACACCTAGAGGTGTACACGCATTAATTATAGATCTCTAGGATATAGATAGTCTATAGAGCGATTTTAAGCACGCGTATATACTAGGAATAAATAAGACCTAAGAGGATTAAGTAATCTATAAGACGATAAATGCCGTAACGTGGATGGCAAGCGAGTGGGCCAGGCAAGCGAGTGGGCCACCCCACCAACTTTTTGCATCTACCTAACTTCAATCAATTATGGCTCCACCAAAACAATCCCAAAACCCTTCTTATGAAGCTGATATACAGCTAGCTATCTCAGCTACTACCCGAAACCAGCTCCAGTCTAATAGAGACGCTGCGCGGACATTTGAAGTCGCCCGAATGACACTCACGCG